TCCATGCCTTACGCCGCCCTTGGTCATAGAAATGATGTAATTTGAATATAAATTATTTATAAATATGTATGTCAAGTTATATTTTTATTACTACGTAAAATATATTTAAGAGTTTACGACCACTGTGCTGGGCGAGATGTTGTTGAAACAAAAAAAGTTATTCATTTCATCACGTACATAAACAGTGTCGTAATTTGCGAAGTGCAAATCAGCAAATTTGTAAAATTTTTGTTTATCTTGAACAATCCGGATAATCGAAAATCCGGATAATGGTTTTCTATTGTATATTTAAAAAACAATAGTGAAACTATTATTTTACATGTAGGTACAGTAGAACCTCGATTATCTGGGATTGTTCAAAATAAACAAAAATTTTACGAATTTGCTGATTTGCATTTGGTGAATTATGATACTGTTTATGTACGTGATGGAATGAATAACTTTTTTTGTTTCAACAACGTCTCACCCAGCACAGTGGTCGTAAACTCTTAAATATATTTTGCTTCATAATAAAAATATAACTTGACATACGCATTTATAAATAATTTATATTCAAATTACATCATTTCTATGACCAAGGGCAGTGTATGGGCAACGTGGGCCACCACCTATGCCTTGTGGTCCGAAGGGCATCGAGCCTCGAAGGTTTATGCATTACTTAAAAGCCGCGAATGTGATGAAAAAGTTTTAGTCGTCATAAAATGATAAATAGTTTGTCAAATTTTTATTCATAAAAATGCAATTTCAACTGCTTTTTATTTTATAAAATCCGTCTTCTTGCGCCATCAGGGGGCCTTTTAAACAATAGGTAGTCTGTTTAGCGCTGGTCAGTAGTAGTCCAAATTCAATATGAATATTTGCTTCTTGAAAATTTGATCACGATTTAAATACAGTATTTATTTTTAATATTACCAATATGTCATCGAAAAGAAAACGTGTTGTATTATCATTAAAAGACAAATTAAAGTATTTGTTTCGATTATCCGAATTTTTCCTTATCCGGACTGCCTTCATCCCCAATTAGTCCGGGTAATTGAGGTTCTACTGTATTTTGACAAAATTCAATGGACTTAAATTTTGATTTTGAACAGGTAGAAACACTTTTGCATTGCGCATAATATTCATTTTCGCAAAAAATTCATCTGGCCCATTAGTCCCTCCCTTTATTCAGATTCTAGATCTGCTGCTGGTCAAGGGTGTCACGATTTGTTATTTTTCAATTAGGTGTGCCACTCAATGAAAAAGGTTGAAAAACACCACTGCCCTAAGGGATAAAAGTTTGGCCACATCTGCATTAAAATATAAAGATAAACCTCTAAGATTAATAAAAACAGTAAAAATGTGTGTCTAAAATCAAGGAACTACAGTATATTTATTGAGAACATCAAGGAAAAAAGCCAAAAATCTAAATACACATGATTATTATAATCAATCCTAAAATTTTTAATTGAGCTATAATATAGTCAATTAATTATAAAGATATTACATAATTTTCGCTAAAAGTAGGTGGTAAGCTGTCATTTTGTATTAAATTTAGTAATTAATTAAAAACAAATATATATTTGAATAAATTAAGGATATTGAAGCTTATTAATTTAATGAAGTTTTTAATATTATATATAGTCGAAATTCTGGTGAATAGGAGAATGAAATAATATTTGAACAAATATATTAATTTTAACATGCTTTATCACATACCTGAGATAAAAAAGGAGCCAATGCTTGATTGTATTCCAAAGTACTTAATATATCATCTGTGGCTTCTGGATTACAAAATAGATTTGATTGTAGTTGATTTATATCTGATTTATGCTTATCATTATTTTTACTGACACTTTGTGTCTTTTGTGTAATAGTGTTTTTCAAAAGTTGCCTTAGTGATTCACTGGCAGATGCTGTAACACTGCTTTGCTTGCAAGATGTGGATTTTTCAGATTCAATGCTTTCTTTATCTTTATCTTTATCCTTTTGGTCTGCTTCAGCTTTTTTCCCACCGTTACATATTTTTGATGTATTATTTCGAGTTCCTCTATTTCTTTCCATAGCAAGTTTATAAACTTTATTTCTCAATGTAGATCGCGGTATTCCATAAATCACTGCAGCTCGACGTGTACCTAACTTCCCACTTTGAATATCACGCAAGGCAGCTTGTAATTCATCTTCTGTATAGGAACGCTTACAGTTTGAATCTAATCGCTTTTTGTGACTATAACAAAAAAAAAAAAATTATTTATATTTTTGAAGAACAAAATTTTTATTATTATTTATGAAAAATTTAAATACCCATGATTCATTGGTATTTGTGGAACTTTCAGAACACTTCTTTTTGGTATATCATGTGTACTTTCTCCATTATTTCGGATTGATGGTGATACATAGAATAATCCCCTAGATTTATCTTTATCTGATGTTCGACGAGATGAATGCATGCTGAGATCCAGTGGTTGATCAGAGAGGGAAGATGGAGAAGTTGGACCACCATAGGACGTACACCAAGGCAATAAAAATCCTGATGGAAATGAAACTGTAAAGTAAATTAATATTTTGGTATAACAATATGTAGACAATTTGTTTTCAGAAAAATTTTAAAATTATTTATAAATAAATAAATCAGTTATTATAAAATTTGCTATATTCTATATTATTTTTATCTTAAGAATGAAATGAATTTCAGTCAGAAAATACAATAAAACTATAATAGAATTATATACAAAAAAAATTTGATAGTAGCTAATTAAATTTTGAAAAATATTTATATAAATTTAATCAAAACATTTATATATTATTTAGGAAATCTAAATTAACTTATTTCCAAAAAAATTATAGTAAAACTTATTCAAAAACATCTTACTCAAAATTTTGACGAATAAAGATCAATTGATTTTGAAAAGCATTAGATATCAGAAGACTTTGAAATAGTCATTTTTATGCAATTATAACAGAATAATAAGAATATTTTCTAAAATTTAACAAATTTGTAAAAATTATTATAGAGACATCAGCAAAAATATTAATTTTATCATTATTTTAATTTTAAAAAAAACTGAAGAATTAAATCTAATTTATATGAGAATTGTTTTGCTTGTTCAACATAAATTATTACCCAAGATATTAACTACTTTTGGTCTATAACTGTAAGAATCAATAGCATCCTAATAGTTAACTTTAATAAAATCTATAATCTTTCATAATTTTAATAACTTAGTATTTTTCTACTCAAAATTAAAACTATCTCAATACATTTGAATATTTACAGCAAATGTATTTTTAATTTCTTGTTCTCAGTCCAGACAAGATCTTTCAAGAAAATCTGATGTTCCAGTTTCAGGCAATGTTGCTTATTTCAGTAGTCAATGAAAATCATCGTAGGTAGAATAACTTCTTAGATGTTTTCCTAAAGTTTATTTCCTAGTATAATGTTACCAATTGTTATACTGATAGAAAGTAACATTGTTATTACTATCAGTACAAAAATTGTTTACTAAAGAATGTTAAGCAGAACTAGCTAACAATAAATCTGATAGTGCATTCAGATTTGAAACTGAACAAAGCTTTCAACAGTTATATCTAAGAAATCACATCTATTAGGTTCTATTAAATGCACATATAACAAAATGTTTTCACTGAAGACTTTTTAAAATATTAGATTACTATAGAGCAATATTTCCCAACCCTTTTGAATTAGCAACATACTTTGAATTTAAGAAGATTCCTGCAACACACTGTAATTTTTAAAATAAAAATGTTTAAAATTTAAAATTTGATACTACTGAAATTAAACTAACCAAGACAAAAACTCACAATTTTACAAATATAATAGAAAAGTAAAAAGACTATTTGAATCAATGTATAAAGAGGTAGTATTGGTCTTCAAGTTGACAAACTGGCATATACATAGACACACATAGCCTTTGTGAGGGGAGTATGCTGATGCTTCAAAATTTTATGTCAATCAGCAATTTAGTGAATACCTCCTCCTCTCTTTGGTCAGACAACAGTAAAAAAGTGANTATATTATAAAAAATTCTATTTAATTGTTGAATAGATAGATACATTTTTGTAATAAATTTAATATATACTTTTGGAATCAATTAAAGAAATCAAATCTAATCCTTATTAGAACTAACTATTTTGTTAAATTATTAAAATTTATAATCATAAACTAATTATTTTATGTTCTAACTGACAGTTTGAGATAGAGTGAAAATGAACATAAACTTGAAGAGAAACAAATTTTGCAATTTTGATAATTTGTAAGATTCTCTTTCTCTATTTACAACAACAAATGAATTAAACCTGACTATTGTAAATATAATGGAATATACAGTCAAATCTTGATTTAGTACTATCATTTATTTGCATCTAGAAGTAGTACTAAATCAAATGTGGCACTAAACAATAAGAATTATATACATTAATGAGGTTTAAAATTTTAGAGGTTGCACAATTTGATATCATTTGCAATGTCGAATCATACATTTAGCAATTCACAGATATTGAAAGGTTTTCTATTTAATACTTATAGGGAAGATTTATTCATGAATATTCATTTGCACTTCATGAGGATAACATTATTTAGCACTATATTGAGATTTGACTGCATATATAGGCTTAACAAGTCTCAGAAATATCTATCTACATAAAACATTAAGATTTACAATCATATGCTGATCTGTTTAAGCCATATTAGAAGTCACATTACTTCAATTCAAAAATTTTCTCCAGAATAGAGTTAGATAGATAACTGGCATGACTCTATTGTAATCAGGAAAAGTATGATATACAGGTGCAAGACACTACTAAAATTAAGAGCATATATTTTAAATTAAATAAATCAAAAATTGCAGCTTGGCATTGTGATGATATCACAATAAATAATTACTCATTTGAAACGTTATCTTTTAAACTGCACTAGTAAGTACTATGCTTTCAACAACCACTCAAAGTATAGGGTATAGATTCTGTATGGTGTTATTTATAAAAATTATCCAGTTACATGGATTGCTAGAATGGTTAAAAGACAATTATTTTAACTTCATTTTTTTAGCACTGTTTCATACTACTTGTACAGCTAGTAATATTTAATGCATATTTCCTCTCAAATGCTAAGATATGCATCTACATACCTAACAGAGATAATTAATTGCTGATAAAGATAGTGAAGATATAAAAAAACATAACCATTTAATTTTACAGCTAATAAAAAATGGATTGAAGAATAAATAATTAGTATAANATTATTATAGAGACATCAGCAAAAATATTAATTTTATCATTATTTTAATTTTAAAAAAAACTGAAGAATTAAATCTAATTTATATGAGAATTGTTTTGCTTGTTCAACATAAATTATTACCCAAGATATTAACTACTTTTGGTCTATAACTGTAAGAATCAATAGCATCCTAATAGTTAACTTTAATAAAATCTATAATCTTTCATAATTTTAATAACTTAGTATTTTTCTACTCAAAATTAAAACTATCTCAATACATTTGAATATTTACAGCAAATGTATTTTTAATTTCTTGTTCTCAGTCCAGACAAGATCTTTCAAGAAAATCTGATGTTCCAGTTTCAGGCAATGTTGCTTATTTCAGTAGTCAATGAAAATCATCGTAGGTAGAATAACTTCTTAGATGTTTTCCTAAAGTTTATTTCCTAGTATAATGTTACCAATTGTTATACTGATAGAAAGTAACATTGTTATTACTATCAGTACAAAAATTGTTTACTAAAGAATGTTAAGCAGAACTAGCTAACAATAAATCTGATAGTGCATTCAGATTTGAAACTGAACAAAGCTTTCAACAGTTATATCTAAGAAATCACATCTATTAGGTTCTATTAAATGCACATATAACAAAATGTTTTCACTGAAGACTTTTTAAAATATTAGATTACTATAGAGCAATATTTCCCAACCCTTTTGAATTAGCAACATACTTTGAATTTAAGAAGATTCCTGCAACACACTGTAATTTTTAAAATAAAAATGTTTAAAATTTAAAATTTGATACTACTGAAATTAAACTAACCAAGACAAAAACTCACAATTTTACAAATATAATAGAAAAGTAAAAAGACTATTTGAATCAATGTATAAAGAGGTAGTATTGGTCTTCAAGTTGACAAACTGGCATATACATAGACACACATAGCCTTTGTGAGGGGAGTATGCTGATGCTTCAAAATTTTATGTCAATCAGCAATTTAGTGAATACCTCCTCCTCTCTTTGGTCAGACAACAGTAAAAAAGTGAAACAAATAAAATTTTAAAAAAGAGCTTATTAAAAAAGTCTAAAAAATATTTAATATTTTCGTGACAAACCTAAGGCACTGTTGCAACAGACACAGGTTGGAAAACACTGCTAAAGAGTAACATCAGAAATTATATTTACCGTGAATTTTTCTGATGGATTTATTTTGTTTGATAATGATCCATATTCAAAAATGGCTAGATATTGAATTAAAAAGAACTTGTGAAACAATGTTTAGATGTAATTCTGCATAAACAATTTTAATACAATAGATTTTTAAAAATTTTCAGTGAAACATATTTTATTATTTGACTTTTAATAATAGAACCTAGTATATTTGATTTCTCAGGCATAACTTCTGAATGCTTTGTTCAATTTCAAATCTTATTGCACTGTTGTGGATTCAGTGTTAAAAAGTCCTTTAAATCAATATATCAAATGGTATTAGTTATTATTTGAAATTTGAAAATTACAACAATTTTAACCTTTAAGCCACAATACTGTGGGAATAATACAAAAGGGTTTCAGTAAACTGACTTTCCTGCTACAAGTTTTAAGAAGGAACTAGTTACAATACATTATAACTTCTTAGAGAAGCAAGTTCAAGCATAAATTTTAGTTCTACATTTCCTTTTTTTATTATCTTGTTTTAAGTAACAAAGCAAGATTTTATTTAAGATAACAGGAAGTAATAAAATTTTGTTTCTTAAAATAATGAAATGTATGGTGTTTCATATACTTGATAACTAAAATTTAAACTGTACAGAGCTGAAATTGCAAAAAATTTCCTTTCACAGTACAATTTAAAGTGTCAATATTTGAACTGGTGTTGAAGAAAAACTTCTGTTTATTTGAAGCAAATGAAAAAAGCTGAAGTATGAGCAAAAATGATTCTAAAAACTAAAATAAAAGAGGATATCAAAAATAGTTCTCAGATATTCTTTATGATTCTGTTCAGTGGCAAATTAAGGATTTTTGGGGTCCTGTGTACTTTGTGCATGGGGCCACAAAAATCCTTAATCTTTGACTGACTATTTGGATAACTGAATGGTCTGTCTGTCATTCCTTAATCTCAAGAATGAAGTTAAATAGATAAGATATGGAAACCTTAGGAGCAAGAAGTCCCAATAAGAACTTCCAAATCAAACTGGAAGTCATGTTATTTCAATTCAAACATTTTCCCCTGAAAGGTGTTAGATAGATAACTGGCACAACTCTATTGATAAAGGAAAAGTATGATATACAGGGGCAAGCAACTAATCTC